ATACAAGACAAATAACAAAAGGAAGAGAGCACTTAATGTTAGTTCTTATAAAATATTTTATCAAACTAGTCAAAGTTGAAAGTGCGTTGTACGTTATTCTGAAATGTTTTATAAGTGCTATAAAAGTATTATTTGATCTTTCATTTACCCTTTTAATCTAAATATGAAAGAAATGCAAGCTCCTGAAAATAAACTTACACAGTGAAAACAAGTAACAAAAGCCAACTTGCTTGAAGCTACATCTAATTTCCCTTTGACATACTATTGTTGGTGGTGCCAGGAAAACCATAGAAATGCAAGTCAAATTTAGGCAGTAACTGAACCGACTTCAAGACATACAGATTATGTGTATGAACAAATTTTAAATGCAAAGTATGTGTTATGAGCTATGACAAACAGAATAGGGGGTAAAATTTCAACTTCTAAATCACCCTTTGACTCAATTTAAATACAGTTTCCTTTTTCTTTTTGTTATTAATAATGCAATTTCCAAATCTAAATCTTCAAAACATACAAACCTCTTAGTTTTACTCTTCTTCCTTTTCCTCGATGGACAAATGAGACAAATACATAGGATATGATCTTTATGTGAATAAGTTTCATATTGAGTGCAGCTGGGAATTTTCAACAAATAGAGATTAAAAACGAAAATTAAATAAGCACCTGAAGCCAGTTATGAAATCCTGAAGCTTCTTGCCCTCCACATTGCTTGATTTCTCCAACAAAAACATGTTCGAAATCGGAAGAAGAACCAGATGTACCACCTCGACCATAAAGGTCAAACCAGAGGCTTGCACTTGTCTCTCTTCAGATGTTACATTTTCTTTATACCCTTCATGTGGATTATAGTTGTCCAGAAGAGATCAGAAACGTGCAAAGGTGGGCCTCATAAATATTTCTTCACTCAGCCAGGAAAACAGGCTCCCTTCTGCTAAACCTTCTTCCCTTCACCACAATCAATCTGATAGTCCTTGCCAGGTACCAAGCGGTTTAAGTCAAGTTCCCAGAGTTTGTTAAGAGCTTTTGAGAGATCATTAAGCTCTTCTCCAGAAGGTTCAATGCCAACATCATACTTAACCTCACTAGCATATTCTTGCTCATCAAGTGGACTTTCGTAATTCTTCCACTGATCCTTGTGTGCCTGTACCAGTATGTTTCATGTATGAACCAGGAGAATAAGCTAGAAACAAGAGTATAAGTTTTGGCAATACAAAACAAGTGGCAACATCTTGGGGGTCCTTGTATTTTGCAACCTGAAAACTCAGTAGTGGAAGAAGCTGGAATGGTCATAATCACAAATAAAATGAGAGAGCTCAAACTCCTTCTCAAATACCAAGTCAAACATCACCTGAGGTCTATCCTCTGCTGAAAGAGTTCATATTACATACTTGTTAGTATCAATCTTCATACGAATGGGAAACATCTTTCACCTCTCCTAGTGCTGCCTAAAATAGTAGCAAAATAATTCAACATTTATAACCTCATAATACAAAAAGGCGATGTACTACAACAAACTGTAAATTCCAACCTGTGAAATATGAATCAATTTGCCAAAATCAGGTTGAACCTTCAGTGATTCTCCAGCTTTAACTTCAACTCCTGCATAAATCGTGCAAATAAAAGAAACACTACTTAGGCAAAAACTAATTTTCATGTCTAAAATAAGTCTAAAATGCAAAATCCATCATTTCTCCAGGCTAAAAGAAACACTACTTAGGCTAGCTAAATTGTAAACATTGTTCCAACGAATTTGGATAAAGGTGTTGAAACTCATCTTTTAAGCTAACAAGTAGAAAAAGAGCCTTGAAATTGCACAAATCAAAGAGCTAATAAAAAAAGAGCTAGAGAGAAACAACAAGAGATATGCTCCATTTGCCACCATTCTTACTATATCATTCTCTATTAAATACAGAGAAATTAACCAAATCCCATCCAAAAAATAACTCAACAATTCTTCATAAATCCTGAAACCCAAGCTACTGCCTTAGCATCGGCAACCCACAATCTATCACTTTCATCACCAAAACACCCCGCAAGTCACAACTTCTCTCTCCAGACCCCAATTCATCGTTGGTTGCCCGTCGGGTCGAACACAATCATCGACGGTAGCCGCTCCATCCTCTCTAAAATAAACACAGAAGCACCAACCCAAACAATAACCCCGGTCAGAAGTCAAATTAAATAATTAAACCAAAAAGCACAATTGAAGCTTATAAACTGACCACTCTACAGAATCTACACATCCAGACTTAAAGTTGGTTATGGAGGCAAAGCAGTTGGTCTAGGGCTCGAAGTCGCCGGCACGGAGGCGAAGCAGGAACTGTCGAAGGATGAAGAAGCCGAATCGCCAGCACCGAGCTGCGATTCGAGGTTGGCTGGAGCAGACGTAGAGGTGAGAGGCGGAGGTCGAGCCTGGATGAAATTGAATTGAAATGGAGGGTGATTTGGTGGAAGATGACTTGGGGGAGTTTATAATATATCAGGGCTCAGGTTTTTGGGCTTTGCAATTTGAGCCATTTATTTGAAAAAAAAAAAAAATTTTATGCAACACTTAATATTTGGCAAACGTTGTTAAAAGTTTTATTTTTAGCAACGTTTGACAAACATTGCGAAAAATAAAATCTTCCGCAACACTTAACAAACATTACGAAAATGGGTCTATTGCAACATTTTTCTAAAAAACGTTGCCAAAACCCATTTATACTAACCAATAGCAACATTCACTTACTAAAATGTTGCCAAAAGACTCTTTTAGCAACATTTATTGATAAATGTTGCCTTTTTAATGTTGCGAATGACTCTTTTTGTTGTAGTGACCGTCATTAATTAATTTATATAATAATATTACTCGGACCAAATTAACAGGTCTTACAGTCCTAACCTCTAGGGTTTTTTTTTTTTTTTATGTATAATTTGAAATAGAAAACAACTATTATTTGTAACTTCATCTTATTGACATAGAAGTGGTTAAAGCCTTTGATAAATGTTTATTACTTTGGCCTTAGAGATTGGGGTTCGAATCCGAGGGGTCAATCAATTTTTACTATTTTCTAGTTTTTTCCTTTTCTGAATAAATTGGAGCACTTAGTCCTTATCCTTTAGCACCTTTGGAAAAATTCGTACCCAACCTTTAAAATTGGATTTTTCTTTTCCATATTCCGTTACTTTTACGTAATTTCATTGACTTAGTGTCATATTTCCTCATGTTAGATGCACAAATTAATTTTTTGATGGGTAAAGTTGACAAAATATAATTTTATTTTTATTTTTATTTTTACGTCCAATTATTTGAAAGTCGATATCTTTATAGGTTCTTATCAAAGCTTATGAAAAAAAATACATGTTTTTATTGTCTTCTCGTATGTCAATCTTTTTGTCAGCTACCACTATGCCACAGACCATCGACTAGGTAGCACTGACGACCATCATAGACTCTCCGAACCAAAAGAGTAATACTATTTAATATCACTCATGTTACAACACTAGTTTAGGTGACACTAGCCACTAATTGTTAATAAATGAAATGTATAATTAAATGAATCACCTAATTTCATCTTTAATTGAATATATCACATAATGTCACATAAATTGGTGTTTGATATCATTATTCAAACAGAAAATCCTGGCCCGCCACTGTTTATCATCTTATTGGATGTCTATTGATGTAAATATGTCCAACTTGCAAAGCACGGTTTAATAATTGGGTTTTATTAATGAAAATGTTTGTTGCCTACTAATGCATAAGCCATGGGATAATCGATCTAAAACTCTAAATGTAGCACATTGAACAGAGACTGTTCTAAATCATATATGTTTATTGTGAAGTCTAAAGACAGCAGGGAAGGACTCCAAGAATAGATCCTTTTGCACAAAACAAAAAAAAAAAAAGGACTTTATGATTTCATTCAAATAGTCCTGGCTGAGATCTTAATAAATTAGAGCTTAGCTTTGAATCGAGTTATAGGTATACTAACAACGAAACCGTCAAATCAAACTGAAACTACTTTTTGAAAATCGTTAGTTTGAGTCCACGTAAATTCTTCAACGTTTTGATTTTGAACAGAACCAAACCGCTTCGAAGTGGTTTGGTTTAGGTTTCAATTTTTTTTTCAAATCGTTTCAAACCGTCAAATTGTTTTAAATAATAAAAAAAAATCTGACAAAAATTAATTTAAATTTTATCTACCCAATTAAAACTAAACATATTCCAATTAAAAGATACATTTGTATTATATATAATCTAATTAAATCCAATACCTAAATAGACAATTCTCCATCCCAATTAATTATTATACCCAAATACTCATCAATCATCATGACTGTGAATGAAAAACCTTCAAATTGAGTGATGTGTTGGATAATTGTTGTTGAACTATATTCATCGAACACGCATGACAATTGAGTAGACAATTAAATATAGATATTAATTCAAATTTTTGTGTC